GGTGCAGCTCTGATTTGCACGAGACTTATCGCCGATGTGGTTTCACAGTGGTGCACCGGACTTAGCGCCGACGTACTGTTTCACATTGAAGAGCTGCAATACAGCGTCAATGCATCGCTGCTGAACCGACAACTCGGCACAGCACCAGCGCTGCATCGGTGTTCGTCCGTTTTTTTTTATCGTTCCCCATCTCAGGGTTTACAAGATGTCTTTTTCGGAGTGGATTCGGCACTGCGATGTATGTGCGAACAGACCTTTCATAGCTAACTGTCCAACCTCAACTGTCGCAGTTTCTTTTAGGGTGCAGCTCTTAGGCGCCAGTTTCCGACTTGAGCGGCGTCGCGTGTTGCATTATGGGACGTTTTCCATAATGATGTCACGAGTGACGTCACGAGGGTCACAAGTGACGCCACGAAGGTCACTCGTGAAGGTCACATCGAAGGTCACGACCTTCACAGTGACCTTCACGAGGCCTTCATGAGTGACCTTCGTGACGTCACGAGTGACGTCACGAAGGTCACTCGTGAAGGCTCCGACGAAGATCACGGGTGACGTCACGAGGGAGGAGGGAGGGATGAAAAGGAGGAGGAGAGGAGGAAGATGGAGGATGGGGAGGAGGAGGAGAAGGACAGCACGAGGGAGGAGGAGAGGAGAAGGTATGCAGGAAGAAGGGAATACTCTCCTCTTCGTACCCTCCCCTCCTCGTCCTCCTCAAGAACTGCGCTCTAATTTGGCATTACAGAGAATTGTAAACGTCTTTCGTTTTTCTTTCGTTTTTTTTTCTTTTCTACCACATTACTGTGACGCATACGAACATTGGGTTGTAATACCCCACATGCAAAACCGCTTTTCTGCTTCACATGGTGAAATCAAAAGCAACACCCGACTGTATTCATACGAATACCTTAGATATTAGGTTTGTTCGATTCGGCCAGAAAGTCCTGAACTAGTTCTGTCCGAGTTAGGAGTGCAGGAGTCAGGCAGCGGCGGCGCAGAGCCATTGCAGCCAATGCGTTGGGACTGACGCTGTGGTCGGCTTCCGGAGCGGAAGCGCGCAGGGTGTCGTCTGCATCTGGTTGGCTCTTGACTCTCCATGCGATGTCGTACTCGCGGTTTGATGAGATCATTCGCGTTCCCTTAGTTTTAAAGTATAGAAACGAAATCTTTTCCGTGAATGTTTATACACATATATATATATATATATTCGAGTGCATTTAAAACGTTTTCTGAACGAAATACGTTTCTGTCTGCATTTTTAAGGGCCGTCCACTCCTTATCGTTTATATAAGCGTTCTTGTCCTTCGCATTATTTTAGCAACGGTAGATTCATTCCAGGACTCTCGAGTTTCGCATTTCGACGATAGGTTCGCAGCATCAGAATGATTTCACGTCGGGTGTTACTGGCGGCAGCGCAGGTAGCGGTCACTTCGAAGACGAAGGCCTGAAGAGAGTGTCTTGGCTAAAACAGTTATCGATCACCGCTTTGACGTCAAGTTGAAGCGTTTATTCTGATTTTTAAGAAAGATTCGCGTGGAACAACCAAGCCAATGCCGCTTCTCGGCGCTTTTTCCAGGTGGGCAGCCAAAGATAACAACGAACAAAGCATGCGTTTCTGTTCCGGTGAGTTGCTATCAATAAAGGGGGGAGGGAAAGGGGGGGTGATCTGTACGTGCTCTTATGTACTAATCTACTCTAACGGATCACATGGGAGCACGAATAGAGCAACGCTGTGGAGCAAGGAGGGTTTTTGAAGACAAAAGTACAAGACGGCGAGAATGAAAATGTTTGAAACGCGGTTCATATGGTCATGTGCAATCTGTTGACCAATCAGAATTAGGCGAGCCGCGTTCAAACGTTTAAGTGCAATTAAGTAGGTTGATAATGAGCCAGCACTGATCAGTGATGAGGAGCTGCTGTGCATATTATTCTGTAAATCATCTAACGACGAAAAAAAGACGTACCTTCCCCCCTCTTCCGTCTATACTGGACGCTGGATTAAGCTCGTTTCTGGACCGCAAGTGCCGCAAGTGCCGCAAGTATACAGTCGTCAGAGTAAAGTAAGATGGTGATCCAGAGGCACATACGGCTTCACACACATTGCACTTGCAAGAAACATCCACACGGCGTCGATTCTTGATCGATATCCAAGCGTGCGAAGGCACAGAGACACAGCACTTCGGCGTGCCAAGGACGCTTTGAAGACGCCGCGAGACCGGCGAAACTTGCTTTCGACTTGGTGAGACGTTTTCTTGCGGCACTGCGCTTTCGTATAAATCTCCACGTGTTTCCAACGGCAAGTATCACGGCTTACGCAGGATCTTAAAGAACGTCTTCGGCGAATGACGACGTAAGAGTAGAAAACCTGTCTTCAACACCCTGCTGCCGGCCTCTGCAACGCTAGCAAATTGAAAAAAATTCTGCATGCAAGATGGCCGTCAATTGGCCGCACTCACGGAGCGGGGATGCGCGATCCAGCAATTGTCCGTTAGCTAACAATTAGCTAACACCACTGATCTCTATGACAATTGCTGGATCGCGCTTCCTCGCTTGTTCGCTGCAGCGCAAGTGAAGCCACCGGACTTCACTCGCTTGGGAAACGATTTGCCGTTTTTGCTAGCCTTTGCTGCGGTTTTCCAGCGTGCTGTAGACACGTTTTCTACTCGCTCGTCGTCATTCGCCGAGGAAGTTTTTTGAGACTCTGTGTATTGTTGAGACTTGCCGTTGTGAACACGTGGAAAATTTTACGAAAGTGCAGTGCCGCAGGAAAAAGTCACAACGCGTCGAAAGGAAGGGCTGGCGGCGTGTTCAAAGCTTCCTTGGCACGCCGAAGTGCCGTGTCTCTGTGCCTTCGCACGCTTGGATACCGACCAAGAACCGACGCCGTGTGTATGTGTTTAGCGAGTGCAATGTGCGTGAAGCTGTTCGTGCCTCTGGATCAGCGTCTTTTCTCCTCGCGGTTTAGGAACGAGCTTAATCCAGCGTCCACTAGCGACGGAAGATGGGGGGAAGGTACATCTTTTTTTCGTCCTTAGACGATTTACACAATACCGTGCACAACAGCTCCTCATCACTGATCAGTGCTGGCTTATTATCAACCTACTTAATTGCACTTGACGTTTGAGCGCGGCTCGCCTAATTGTAATTGGTCAACAGATTGCACACGACCATATCGGCCGCGCTCCAAAGATTTTCATTCTCGCCGTCTTGTACTTTTGCTTTCGAAAACCCCCCTGGCTCCACAACGTTGCCCTATTTGTGCTCCCACGGAATCTATTAGAGTAGATTTGGGACATAGCCATGGTTAATATAGTACATAAGAACACGTACAGATCTCCCCCTTTTATTGATAGCAACTCACCGGAACAGCTGGACGATCCAGAAGTCCGTGGCCGATATATATAAATGATCTAAAGGCATCTACGCGCGACACACGTTCCGAACTTTGGTGCGGCGTCAATTCTTGACCGGTATCCAGGCGTGCGAAGGCACAAAGATGCATCACTCGGCGTGCCAAGGAAGCTTTGATCACGCCGCGACACCGGCGACACGTTTTCGACGAGTTGTACCTTTTGATACGGCTTCACGCACATTGCACTCGCTAAACACATTCACACGGCGTCGGATCTTGGTCGGTATCCAATCGCGCGAAGGCACAGAGACACGGCACTTCGACTTGCCAAGGAAGCTTTGAATACGCCGCCAGCCCTTCCTTTCGACGCGTTGTGACTTTTTCCTGCGACACTGCACTTTCGTAAAATTTTCCACGTGTTCACAACGGCAAGTCTTAACAATACACAGAGCCTCAAAAAACTTCCTCGGCGAATGACGACGAGCGAGTAGGAAACGTGTCTACAGCACGCTGGAAAACCGCAGCAAAGGCTAGCAAAAACGGCAAATCGTATCCCAAGCGAGTGAAGTCCGGTGGCTTCACTTGCGGGAGCGGCAAGCGCGATCCAGCAATTGTCATTGAGATCAGTGGCTAACACCACTGATCTCAATGACAATAGCTGGATCGCGCTTCCCGCTCCCGCAAGTGAAGCCACTGGACGAAACCTGGCTGGGATACGATTTCCGGTTCTGCCAGCGTTTTGCTGCGGTTTTCTAGCATGCTGTAAACACGTTTTCTACTTGTTCGTCGTCATTCGCCGAAGAAGTTTTTTAAGACTCTGTGCACCGTTGAGACTTGCCGTTGTGAACACGTGGGAAATTTTACGAAAGCGCAGTGTCGCAGGGAAAAGGCTCAACTCGTCGAAAGCAAGTTTCGTCAGTCTGGCGCCGTGCTCAAAGCTTCCTTGGCACGCCGCAGTGCCGTTTCTCTGTGCCTTAGAGCGCTTGGATACCGACCAAGAATCGACGCCATATGTATAGCAATGCCAGGAGCAGCTGGGAGTTTTGAATGTTTTGCATTTCTATGGCTTGGGTTAACGTAAATAGGTTATCACTTGTTCTTCTGTTTTGCCGAAAGTCATTTTGAGCTTCTACGAAAACGCTGTTTTTTTTTTTCATACACGATTTGTAGCCTGTGGTTTATTATGCTTGCAAAGAATTTGCAGACATTGCTGATTATTGCGATTGGTTGACAGACATTGAGGTCTTTTGGGACCGCTTGTTTCCCTTTATATAGGAGCTTTACTATTGCCTGTTTCCACACTTTCGGTATTTCTTTTGTGTCTACTGCCTCACAGGAACTCGTTCGGAATATCGTCCATACCGGTTGCCTTTCTATTTTTCAGTCCTTTTATTTGCCTCTTCATTTCCCCCGTGGTTATGGGGGTCTAGTATGGAATACTTCTGTATTTTTCGTTTTCCTGTATGTATGTCACTTCCGGGGCTCGCTTCAGTTTTGTTGCTGCTGTAAGGTGGCGCAACACGCCACCTAATTTTAGGCGATCAGGTTTATTCATTTGTCCACATCAAACTACACTCACTATGTGGCGCGACACGCCACCCAATTTTAGGCGATAAGGTTTATTCGTTTATTCGTTTGTCCATCTACTCGTAAAAACAGAAATGGCGGCCTCTATCTTGAATCTTAATGTCGGTGTTTTGGGCCATGTCGATAGCGGCAAAACGTCGTTGGCGAAGGCAGTCAGCACCATTGCGAGCACTGCCTCGTTCGACAAGAACCCACAGAGTCAGGAGCGGGGCATAACGATAGACCTAGGCTTCTCGTCATTTCAGGTGAGCGCTCCCGAGCACATCCGAAGCAGCTATGAGCACCTACAGTTCACGCTGGTTGACTGCCCCGGGCACGCCTCACTCATCAAGACAATCATCGGGGGTGAGCTAGGGCATCTTAAAACATGCATTCCGAAGAAAAAGCTTAAGTGCGTGTGCAAAGGAGAGCGTCTGCATTGGTGCAGGTGCCCAGATTATTGACATGATGATGCTTGTCATCGACATTACCAAGGGAATCCAGACTCAAACGGCCGAGTGCTTGGTGATCGGCGAAATAACTTGCGACCATATGCTGTTGGTGTTGAACAAGGTGGACCTCCTTCCCGAGAGTAAAAGAGCTGAAAGTGTAGAAAAGGTGAGCAGACCCGTTTTTACGCATACCGAGACACTTCAGTCGTACTTTCCTATCACAGATGACCAAGAAACTGCGAAAAACCTTGGAGAAGACTAAGTTCGCGAATTCAGCCATTGTTTCGGTTGCGGCAAAGCCCGGTGGCGGCGCGGAGGTAGGTATAACCTGTTTACATGCTGAATTAAACATTCATTTCGGCGTAGAGTTCATTTGAAAGCTCATTGCCCTTATGCTTGTGCTGTAATCAGGATGGGGGCATCAAGGAGCCCATGGGGCTGACCCACCTACTGGATGCCCTGGCCAAAGCTGCCTACATTCCAGAGCGCCAGCCACAGGGACCATTGGTGCTGTCCGTCGACCACTGCTTCTCCATCCGTGGCCAAGGCACAGTTCTCACAGGCACAGTTCTTGAAGGCAGTGTATCTCTCAACGATGTGAGTACTATACACTCGATCGTGTCGCGAGCTGCGACTAATTCTGCTCTTTCTTGCACGGTTTGTGCTTCAGATCTGACTATGGCTACAATGCAACGGTATTTGTGTTTGACAGGTGATAGAGATACCTTCCCTCCGGGTGACAAAGAAGGTGAAGAGCATCCAAGTGTTTCGCAAGCCAGTCAACAAGGCCATTCAGGTGTGTCACTTTGATTCTTTGATCGTTTTTTCGTTGTGATTAAAGGGGCCCTGGAATCATATTTAACCGTCCACCTTTTTTGTGGTTTCCACGTCTCTCGGGCTAGCCAGCGGGCACAGAGAGAGTAGCTAAATATCAGTGCGTCATATTTTAACCGATTCATGCAGAAACCTCCTCCACCTATGGGGCGACCCACGGTGCCGAAAATGCTCAAAATGTGAAGTTTTTGGTTCTGCGCTTACTGCTGGTCAGAGCTGCTAAAAGCTACTTTTTAGTCGAAATACACAAAATAAGTAGCGTGAACCGTTTCTATTTTGAATAAAAGTAGTTTTTGTTCAGTATTTTAGATCAGAAAAGAAACAAACCCACTTTAGAAAGTACGGAAACAAGAAATGACCCGTCCACATACCCGCCACCAAGCGGTGGAAAAGGCGTCGCATACTACAAAGGTGTAGGTAGTGGGATCAGGCACCGACGAGCGGCAAGCGTAGAAAGGTCCTGGATATATGCGGCGGCGCTGCGGTCAAATGAACTGGTGGATCTGACCGGTTCTGAGCGTTCCGAAGGCCTTCGGCGAGCAGCTTTGGCTCGCGGTTTGGCCATTTGGTGGCATGGCAGCACGAAGTGGCTCCCGTTCTGAACTGATCTCTACACCGTATTTGCTGTCGTTTGTGGCCAATGAAGTGTCATGCCGAATGAGTGTTTGATCGCACAGCAAATGCAATGCGAGCCGCCCTGGCTGCCCGCTTCATACAGCCTATCCAGAGCATGCTTTAGTGGCGCCCTCGGTAGCCATTGACACGGAGTGCGGCAGCCGTGAGCGCTCGCTGAGCTCACTACCCCTCCTCTAGTTAACGGCCACTCAAGCGACCAAGGACGTCATGAAGGAGGTTATTTTTTGCTTGTTTTTGTAATTTTAGTTTGCCTAATACGTTTAAAATAAAGCGAAATTGGAGACAACAAAAGTTTTATTAAGTTACTACGTTCAGTGCGCTCAGGTTCGTGCAAATTAAAAACCAGTCAAAAAGTTCTTGCAGGTCCCTTTAGAGGGACACTGACAGGGTATTTATGCTCGCCGAGGTTTTTAGTTGTACGTGCAGTCTGGGTGCTAGGGGCCTAGTCAGGTGACTTATTGTCACCTTTTGCCTCAGCACCATGACAATCCTGTATTTTCAAAAGTTCCAATAAACAAAAATAATAAACAAAAAAAAAAGTGACATATGAGAGCCCAACTACCCAGAACAGAATCTGCGGCTCAAAATTCAGTTTCTTTTTGCTCGAAAACCGCCGATCAAGAACTGGCCGGTTTGAGTCGCGCTCACTCTCTTTCCCGTGGTCATGGCTGTTTTCTGAGGTTTCGACACAACCACCAAATTTAATCAGTTATTAGTCATTGAAGGCACACACTCGATATTAAAAATAGAAAAAAAAAAAAATATGAAACCCATTTTTTGTGACTTCTAAAAAGCTGCAAACAGGTTGATTTAAAAAAAAAAATTGCACAGAGTACCGGAAGCATTTTGTGCGTTCACTGCGAAATTCTCAACATGGTATTGTTTCGCGTATCGTGGGACTCGCGGGGCCGGCGATAACAGTGGACGACGGGCATGGGACCTCTACTTCAGAACTGTCGCTGGCATTACCGGCGAATTCTGTCTTCTTTGAAAGAGAAATTTTGGACCGATCAGAAGACTTGGTATTCATCCCGTATGACACGCCTGACCACCAAGCCGATTTGCACAAGGACGTCACTGACCCGTCGCACCCTTCTCGTGGCTGAAGACATCGCTCGCGCAAGCGTCAAGCACGAAGTGCGTACTTCGAGTTGAATATGCACGCGTACGATTTCTTTACTAGGTGCGAATGTGGCCAATGCGTGGTGCTGCGAGACTTCGACCCGGGAATGCTTTTGCTGGAGGAAAATCGTAGCCTTGCGACTTCCGCCACTCACTCTCTCCTCTCCACTTCCCCAACCTCCGTGCGCAGGTTTCGGTTTTGGTTTCGAGCAGTTGCGTTTTTTGGCTTTATTAAAAATATACCATAATATCCCGAGAGATACCCCACATAACATCAAGGGCAAATCGGGTGAAAATACGGAGTGGGCTAACTTTCGGTGTACAAGCAAGAAAAGTTAAAGAATTGCTATTTTTAGGTTGTGTCCCTTCTAAGCTTGTTACGGTGGCGAGGAGCAACGAAGCAAAGATGACTGTACTTCCCAGTGAGCAACGTTTTCTTATATCCCGCAATAGCTAACTAGCCGCATTTACGCCGAGGCTAACATTGACCCCAACACTACTATTACTAGAAGTGGGCTATCTTTTGGTGTTTAAAAAAAGTATAGCAAATCAAGCCACGAATAGGGGTGGGCTATCTATCGGAGGTGGGGCATCTCTCGGGATTTTACGGTATGTGACTCTGTTGCTAAATATTAATTAGTGGTCTTCCAACACTGTAATGTATCACCTGTCAAAAAATTAAAATTCTTTTTGAGGGGTGTCAGTGTCCCTTTAAAGATAATTGCTGAAAGGAGAAGACAGGGAAAGGCAGAGTTTATGAAGACCTGCTAGAGGTGAGAGAAGGCTTACGTGGTCCCTCGTGTGCGCCAAAGGAACGTTGGTGGTCCTGGATCAGGCGGACCCACCTAGCGAAGAAATGAGATGTACAAGCAGGCTGGAGGTTGGAACTGGACTCACTTCACGACGTATAGCGCACGGTGCCTCAAGCTCTGTGCATTGGCCTGTTGGTTGTCTCCACGGCACACTAAAGAGCGCGCCCCATTAACAACATGAATTAAACAATACAGTTTATGTTTTTATTTATTTATTTTTTGTCACTTTTGACTCTTGTTTTCAAACTCCAAGGTGGCAAAAACACTGATGCTTAAGCTTTGCCTTTAAGGGTGGAACAGGATAACGTTATCAAGCCCCGTTTGTGAAGCCTTCTCATATAAACCCGCGTTCATTCCCAAGCATGTGTGCGTGGTCTAGTCGGTAGCATCACGTGTCCCGTGACGTGTGACGTCACACATGGCTGTGATGTCGTGACCCTACCGACCCGCTAAATTTAAAGAAAAATTTTCCGCTAAATTTCGCAGGAATATTTCTTGCTCAATTTGGAAAGTCGATAGGGTCGGGACATGCTTGACATCACGTGTGACATTACAAGTGGCTGCGCGTGTTGCATTATAAAATTTTTTGGTCCCGCCGAAGCCGGATTTTCTGCGATGTGAACCCCTAAATGCCATCGGGTTAAAATTGGTTATGTTCTGCAACATACTGCCTTGCTGCTTCCATTTCTCACTACATACCGGAAGCAAGAGACTGTTTTCTGAAGTAACATGTAGTCTTTCATACGAAGCTCCTAGTACCCCATTAGAAAAATGATAGATCCAATCGCTCTTTGAAGTGAGCATGCTCGAATCTTCCATCATATTTTTTGTAATATTCAGTCAGTGCATCATCTAGATTTGCTGCAAATGCGATTTATTTCTCTGTATGACCGTGTATCATATATCCAATGACTATGCTGCAAAGGGGGAGCACTCCCTTTCCTCAATGGCTTTTGGCCATTGACTGCTTCTCGCAGCGCCTTTTGGCCGCTTACTTTACGCCTCCTCGTCTCGCAGGGCGACCGCGTCGGGGTGTGCGTCACTCAGCTGGAGGCCGGTCTCCTGGAACGAGGTGTAGTGTGCAGCCCCGGCCACCTGGGCCCCACCCTGTCTGTCCTGGCCAGCGTGAGCGGCATTGGCCACTTCAAGGGGCCCTGCCTGTCTGGTGCAAAGTTCCACGTGACCTTCTTGCACACCACCATCATGGCAAAGGCCACCTTCCTCAGCAGGCCCGCAGGGAAGCCGGAAGAAGACCTGCGCTGGGACGCGGAGCTCCTCGGACACAAGCAAGAAGCAGCAGAGGTGGATGCCCGTTTCGAGCCTACATAGTCTATGCAGTGGTGTCTCGATTAATATGGACACCTCCGTTCCGTTGTCCTTGATAAAGAGAAAAAAAATGTGGGAGGACGCTTAAGCTTCGCCTTAAAGGGTGGTACGCGATAGATAAATATAAATCTCCGCAAGCGTGTCTGCATGGCGTTGTCGGTAGCGTGTCTGGGTCGCAACCAAAGGGTTGTGAATTCGATCCCGCTCCGCCTAAAATTGTTAGAGTTTTCTCTTTAAGGCAACTGAATTACTGATCGACCAATCGGGATTTTCTTGTCCCACCGACACCGACGCCGGCTTTTCTGCGACACAAACTCCTTAAAGGACACATGCAAAGGAAAAAAACATTTTTTTTAAACGGCTTAGATGGAAAAAGGACGCCATAAAACAATTTTACAACGAAGAAAAAAAATTTTTAGAGCTATACTTAGGGCGCAAAACGAATTTGTAGTTGGTGCCCGCGGGCACCGCGGAAAAGTGGTCCGTATTTATCACGTGACTGGTCTTTACTTATCACGTGGTGCTTGCGTTCTTTCGGAAGCTTCCTATGGCCTCTAAAGGTAACTTATTCATCTTTGTTTGAAGTATAACAAAAAACTGAGATGAATAAGTAACTTTTAGAGCCCAAAGGAAACTCCTGAAAAAGCGCAAGCAGACGTGATAGACCTGTGCGCCGGTCAGACGACGGCGGCGGCGCCCCGAAGCAGACAAACTTGTGCGGCGGCGGCGACGGCGGCGTGGAGAAACGCGTTGAAGCAGCGTTCGCACAACGCTCAACGTGCGGCGGCGACGCAGCGCGGCGGCGACGCAGCGCGGCGGCGCGCGGGCCTACCATGTGACCAGCGGCGGCTCCCGCGAGCGCCAACTACAAATTCGTATAGCGCCGTAAATATAGCTCTAAAATTTTTTTTTCTTCGTTGTAAAATCGTTTTATGACATCCTTTTTCCATCTAAGCTGTCTAAAAAAAATGTTTTTTTCCTTTGCATGTGTCCTTTAAAGCTATCGCTTTAAAATGCGCATATTTCCCCGGTTCGTCCACAAAAATGTTTTCTATATAGCAAGATGTCCATATTAACGGAGTCTGTATTAATGAGACATGACTAATTCATGTCGGCATAACTTTTAGCGCAGGACGGGGTCTAATTGGAGCAGCGGAGCGAGGCCGCTACAACACACCACTGGAGTACTTTCCTCCTGGGTGTTGTCGTGTGCTTCGCACCGTCGATCCAATTGACATCTGGGGACCGTAGCTTTCGCTCAGCAATGTTGGATTGCGAAGTATGCTTTCCGCAACTTCTCAATTGGATCACTTGTAATTGGATTAGATTGTCAATGACATGCCCTTCTTTGGCTACGCTCTCGTCCACAACAGTTGCAAAGCATCATGCTGTAATGCAATTCCAGGAAAAGTCTTATTGCAACTAGTTGATGGTGCAATTTTCACACTTTTAGGCCCCATTTGCCTCTATATTTAAAGGTGCACCAAAGACTTTTCTCAGATTGTCGGTTTTTGGGGATAACTTATCTTGCTGGCTCCAAGCATCCCAGAAATCGAAAAATTATGCTCGTGCGACGTCTATTTCCCTACTAAAATGTGATTGAAATTCGTGCCACGCCCCTTTCTGAGCAGAAAAATCTGGAGCATGAAATTCAGCGGAGGCACCGACGCCGTGACGACAGGCACACATCAGCCAATCGCAACTGCCTTTCCGAGAGAGGTGGCTTGTCACTGGCTGTTGCACGCCCGTTGTCACGCCGCAGTCGCTGTCGCTGCCGCTGAATTCTTTTCCCCAGATTTTTCGCTCAGAAAGGTGCGAGGCACAAACTTCAATCACATTTTTTGTAGGGAAATAGACGTCGCATGAGCATAACTTTTAGATTTCTGGGATGCTAAGATCCCGCAGAATGAGTTATCACCAGGAACAAACAATCTCAGGAACGTCTTTAGTGCACCTTTAAGAGATGTAGTGCATTCAATAAAGAAACTATACACTCCATTTCACAAATGCCCGCAGTAAAAATAAACCAGGTGTGTGGGCCTTGCTCGGCAGTATCTTTTGGTTGTGGAGAAGTCGTGCATAGAAGGCACTTCGTAAGCCACGCGCTTGTGCCCGTGCCTTTTTCAGTGCTACAGATGTTTGTGAGATGGAGTATAGGAAGTGATGTGTGTAAAATATGAATCGGGCAAGGTTACACAAAGAGAAACCTGAGACGACGAGATGGATAGTTGAGCCTGTTGGTTACGAGACTTGCTAAAATGCACCTAAAAGACAAGGAGCGTGTGCACTGTTTTTCTAGGAAGAATTGCAACAATCAACATATTGAGCTGATTGCTCGACGCGGGGCATTCCTTGTAAATGTTTCACATTCCCGAATTATCATACATAATATTTATTTCATCAGTTTCATTGCACATTAAATTATGAAATACCTTTTTCTTTTAATTTCTTTCATTTTCAGTCTTCTTCAATTGTTCTTGTAACAGCTCTCAGCTGTTGGTAGGTGCAATGTATAGGTAAATAGATAATTAGTTATACAATCTGTCAAATACCTTTTTCTTTTAATTTCTTTCATATTCATACTTCTTCAAATATTCTTGTAACAGCTGCTGGCTGTTGGTAGGCATGCTTCATTAACTGTCACGAATGACGGTTAATGAAGCGACGAAAACTGAAACAAACTGAACGTTTAATGGGGCGAACTTGGCCCAAAACAAAAGTAAAACAAAGGATAACACTAGAGCGTCGCGTGCGTCGATGGCCGTGTAGCGGCAGGATCAAACGCTTGGGCGAGACTGACTGCGGTTCGCCACGCGGAGCCCCTTATGTACATGCGTGGGCTCCTGGAATAATCGGCGGAGAAGGTTCGAGGCGGAGAACATTTGTACCTCGAACAAGCAACAGGAGTCTCGAATTTACCAGAACACTAAATTGTAGGAATAAACAAAAGATGCATTGCTCCCAGAAATTGAACCCTGGCTTTTCGCGTGGGAGGGAGGCACGATAACCGTTAGGCCACGCGCGCGCCGCCTACTTGGCCAGCTGCGCGCGCGGCACTATGTATAGATAAATAAATAATTATACAATTCATCTTCTATTTATGCATCCACACTACTCCCATGCCCTGCTTGGCATCCTCAGGCGCAGTTATCCCCCCCAAATTGCACGACTGTTGGCCCCAGCGAATGTGCCTCCGAGAAAATTCAGCTCTATGGCCTTGCTATCTAGGGACGCTGGTTAAGGACTGTGCAAAGAGGACACCGCAAATGCCGTGCACAACCAAAATAGCATGCACACTTCTCAAGAGCCTCGAACATTGCGGCATTTGCATACGTTTCCAGTGAGGACATCAACCCTAAAGGCAGCACGGCTTTCCTCCTCGCCTCTTTGCTGTCGTCTCCTTCCCTTTCTTGTTTTCGGGAAGTTGGAGACTGACAGCCAAAGTGGAGACCTTGAGGACAGCCAGCATGCTCGCGAGTGGCTGCCTGTACCCTTGTGACGAGCACGCTCCGTTTTTCTGTCCAGGGACAGAAGCAGAGAGCATTTTTTTCTTTGGAAAAAAAACGTCCCAAAGCGAACTGGAGCCAGAGGGAAACCTCCACGTCACCGAATGCTGTGACTGCAGAAAATGTGTCCAGTTTGGACAGCCCTTGAAGCGCCGCTGGAAACGGAACGAAAAAAGAGCGGTTCATCCTCCCCTTGCAGGAACCTGCCAGGGAGACCCTTGTCCTCCTGGAGCTGGAACAGGCGGCCATTTTGGGACCGAACATGCTGCTCATTGGCTCCAAGCTGGACATGGACGCGCAGGGCCGTGCCTGCCGGCTGGCCTTCCACGGTCGTGTGCTACGCTGCTTCACGGACACGCGCCAGCGCGGCGCCTTTGCAGATCTCCCGGTGTACAAGCGCAAGTCGAGGGCGGGGGTGGTTGACCGAATGCTCGGAGAGTCCGAGCTGGTGGTTCGATCGCTCTTCAAGAAGGACACCGACCTGGCCAGCTTCGAGGGCCTCTGGGTGCGGCTGGACACTGGCGAGCGGGGCACGCTGGGGGGACCCTTCGGGCAGAGCGGGAAGGTCCGGGTCTCCCTCAGGGGTAAGTGCGGACGGCGCCCCCAGGTTTTCAATGTTCTGTCGTTAAGATAACATAGCAGTGCCAAGAGGAGCTGTGGTCATTGACAGTGGGAGGACGGCGGGGATGAGCTTTAATTCTACCTCCAGAGCGAGCTTCCTACTTTTAACGTTCTGACACCTGTGTCAAAAGCACGATAGAAGGCAGAAAGCACTTGCTGGAGGCCGGGCATTCGAAAGAGATGCCTTGCTCTGTCAACGGCTACGTATCAACTTTATATTCTACGAAGTGCAAACGATTTACAGGTGCAGACTGTACAAGGTTCTTTTTCCTTCCTAGCTTGTTCATTACGACGACATGCGACAGATTTTGAGAGAGGCAGAGTATGGTAATAAAGATTTATGCATGTTAGGAGCTTCTTTGCGAGATAATAAAGCAGGCATTTGTCAAGGTGCGCCGTGTATTAAACTTTTGATGTAAGGAAAGCCATACTTTTTTAAACAAAAGTTTTCCCTGCGATGTATAGTCCAGAAATTATGCTTTTTGGGTTTCCAAGTCCAAACTTCAACTGCTTCTTCCTGCGCATCTCATTTTTAAACGTCCGGTAGGGATGTCGCGGACTTCTGTCAAATCTGAGGTTTGTGCGAACTTTCGATCTTTCAGGAAATTTGAGAAAGTTTAACTTGCGAATACCCATAATGTACTGAGAGATAGCCCACCTAAAATCAAGAGCGAATTGGTGAAAATTACGAGTGGGCTAACTCTTGATATGCAGTCAAGAAAAGTTGAAAAAGTGCTAGTTTTAGCTCATGCACCCCTGCCAAACTTGTTATCGCGGTGAGGGTCAATGAAGCAAAGACGACTGTACTTCCCAGTCAGAAATGTTCACTTATATTTAACCATAGCTAACTAGCTGCATTTACACCGAGGTCATCATTAATCTGAACGCTATGATTACTAAAAGTGGGCTATCTTGTTTTTTTTTTCAATTTAAGTTTTTAAGAAAAAAATAGCAAATCAAGCCAAAAATAAAGGTGGGTTATCTTCCGAAGGTGGAGCATCTCAGGAGATATTAGGGTAGTGTTGCCCAACTTCCATGCAGAATTTCGAATTCTGTAAAAAATATTTTAAGGAGTAGTGACTTGTTTTGAATTTTAAAAAAATGATTACCAATGCTTACACAATGTAAAAGGAAGCATGTACAGGGTGTTCCATGGAATGCCGGCCAATTCGTTTCTGTGAAAAGTATGTGTCACACAAAAGGAAGCTGACATTGTGTTGGCTTCTACTGATGGGCCTATTTGCAAGAATTAATCATGCTTGGTATAGTTATGTTATCTTGCAAAAAATGTGATATTGGATTTTAGTGTTCTATTATCCTTAAATCCTCATATTTTATGTATAAAAAATAGCGACTGGTCTTCCAATTCGCATTTGAAGACCTCTTGGCGACCCAGAAAGGCAGAAATACCGTATTTACTCGAGTAATAGCCGCACTATTTATGAAGAAAACCCGAGGATTTGCTTTTCTGCGGAACATGCAGATTGCCAATCACTGCGATCGACAGCATGATTCCAGCTGTTTACAGGACAGAGATGACGTCTTTCGTGCAAAGATACCATCTGTGAAGATTGCATTTGTATGGAGAATCATGTTCTCGATCTGGTTATTTGCTATGTTATTTATGCGCAACGCAATGGTTGGCTGTATATGTGTTCTGTGGGAAAGTAGATGCAAGGGCCTTGTTCATAAATTGTGCGGCTATTACTCGAGTAAATATGGTATAAGCCATGTTCATGTGCGCAGTTCCTTGAATTGTGAAGTAGCCTTCTCTTCATTGCAACCTTTTGTAGCTTCAAATTGGTGCAGAAATAAGAAAAAAATATTTTTCCCACCACTAAGGAGTGCTAGTACGCATCTATGGTAATATTCAAACACGTTTATCTCGTTTTGCAATTTCGAGGCATCTTCGCATTTGGCGCAGAAGAGTTTTTGTCTATAATATTGTTTTATGACAACCAAATTTGGCATTCATAAGCTTGGAGAATGCAACTATCAAGGTTTAATAAGCATGTATATTTTTTTATGCATATGAAAACTTTAAAACCTTTTGTTAGCATTTTGAAAATGCTGTTTTTGCAAGCTTTTTATTTTTCAATGAAAGAGTTCTTGTACACATCACCATTGTTCATTGCACTCAGTGCTTGAAAAGGTGTGAATTAGCCTACTTTACTAGGCTCTTTTAAGTCTGTTGCGATGCCCCACGTGCATGCAAGAACATGGGTATATTTTGCACATGCATTGCATCCAGAGCTTAGAAGACAAGCTATATAAAAAAACCTGACGTATGAAAAAGAGATCAAGCCCTATAAATTGTAAAAATTTTAATTATCTAAAAAAAAAAAAAGTCAGCCTTTTCTTTTTGGTGAAGGAAGGCCAGCAAAGCTGTACTATGGTGGGAATGAAGTATTTATAAATGTAAGGATTAAGGTGTGATGGGGTAATTGGTTATTTAAATGATTAAAGAATCAGATGTATACATAGTAATGATCCAAGGTTATTATTTATTTTGCAACCACAGTGACCATGGTCTTGTGATCGCTGTGGCACACTGCCACAGGGTGTATGCTGGCAACGTGCACATTCTTCGTGAAGACGAGGTCTATACACGTCCGATGCCTGGTCGTGGGCACCAAGCGCATAGCCAGGGAGGTGTTCAGGTGTTTGAACACCTCCCGAAATTTTACTTTATTAAAATATATGTAGTATATCTATTTTTTTTTTTTATTGTGTTTGCAATTGCACCAGCACTTTGAAAACCCCCCCCAATATTTTCTGGCTACGCTACTGGTGGGGCACCGTAGGTTCGTTCCTGGCGTGCAATGTCAACAATAAAGTCACCCATCACTACGGCAGACATGTCTTCGCTGAGCAAGACCCAGCCGAAGACGTCCATCATGAATGCTTCAATGTCCCTCTTTCCTCTTGGGCGTCGCGGGGGGGACATACACGACGACGCCCACCGGACCATCGCGCACCTTGACGGAAAACCTGGAAAAGTTGCTGCCATCTATGTCTGGTTGCCGCTGTCGCTCGTAAATAATGGTAGCTGTCCAGAGTTTTGTGTAGTAATGTGTCAATATTTGTTTGGTATCGAAAACTATACTAAAAAAACTAGCCAGCTCCGCTGTAAAAAAAATTTTTTTCCCCTAGTCCACATTCTCTGAATTGGTAAATTTAAAGGCATGGCTTTAATTAAACTATTCCTGGGCATCATCAAAAACCACTAAATCGGGCCACTTTACGAAAGTATAAGGCATTTCAAACATTTTGGAGCTCTCTGTAAGAACTGTTTGGAGTGCACCTCTGCACCAGTGGTCCTGCTTTCCGTGGCCAAAGCGCGCAACTAGTGCATTGCCTCCCTTGTAGGAGAAGGAAGTGTGGCACTTGCCGACAAAATGAAATGACATTCCTAGAACAAGGTCTTGTTTTTGGTTTCACCTCTGCTCAGGTTAGAATATGAAGGGGCACATTAGTTGCTCGCTTTGACCACGGAGAGGAATGCGGGCGAAAGTGTGCATTTCGATAGGATGCCAAAGCCTAGAAGTGCGACCGAAAAGTTTCTTTAGAACGCCGCAAAATACAGCATGCGACTTATACCCTTCGAAGGTGGCCAGATCTAGCGACTTCCCTCGGTGCCCAGAAAGTTTCCAATTATCTGCCTTTAAGCTTACTAATTCAAAAGTTAATTACTGAAAAGTCATTAGCGACCAAATTATACCCAAAAATTATTCACCTAAGCAGAGACCTATAGGATGTCCACCTCTATTTTCTCCAGGAAGCACACTGTTTGCAGGACCGACTTGACCGACGCTGTGAGACTCAACTCTTCCGTTAGGTATCCATCAGGTGGCATCAGTTCATTTTTAATTTCCGTGTGTGCTTTCTTTTCTTTCCGAACTTTGGTTTCATTTTGTGCAAAACGCTAAAGAAGGCTAACCTCGCCAAGTTTGCAAAATGTTCAGTGTGGGATTGGTTCTGGTTTCGCAATTCTAGAAATGCTACCCTCTGTTTGGTGTAGACAAAGTAAATTGCCCCATCTGCGAGGTGTCATTGGTTGTAGCTGCTTACAAGCAATCTGGAAGTACATATGAATTATTGAACAGTTCACATAGGTACTATCAAGAAAATGAAATGCGAAAAGAGGAGCATGTGGCTCGCGGTACAAGCCGCGCCGCCTGGATGCAAGCCTAGGGGTGAGGGTGTGTGGCCTACTCCGATGTGTTTACGCCCTTCACTTGGCACTCCCCAAGCTTTGGCATTACGCCTCTTAGTGCACCGAGAGCTATCACCACTATCTTTGCTCGCTCGGCGCGAGGAAGCTGGCCGCTAGTAGCAGTTCAAGAGGACGCTCACGCTGGTTGAGCACGCGCTTCAGCTGCTACTAACGGTGAGCTTCCTCGCACCGAGCGAGCAAAGATAGCGGTGATAGTTTTGAGCGCACTAAGAGGCGCAATGCCGAAGCTTGGGGAGCACAGAGCGAAGGCCGTTAACACATCAAAGTAGGCCATGCACCCTCGCCCCTAGGCTCACTTCCAGGCGGCGCAGCCTGTACCGCGAGCCACCCACTCCTCTGTTTGCATTTTATTTTGCCCCGATAGTACATACCATCACTTGCTGTCCTGGGCTTACTCCACTTTGCCATTCTGAAGCAGTTTGATGAAAGACATGCTGCATTTGTGTCTGTCATTTCCAAGCACTTGGAAGTTTTTCTTTAGCACATTTTTGGTTAGCAACTCCTATTTTATCATTTGTTCTACTTCCCCTAGATATTGCCACCTTAACCATTGCAGATATTGGCTGTTCGTTCTAGCAATACAACTTCAGTACTAAATTCGGAGGATATGCGCTGAAATAACAGCACTCAGTGGGATAAATGATGTCAACAATATAGCCAAGAGGGGTGCAAAAAATTCTGGGCAGCTTTTTTGACAGCCGCTTTATCCCCTGCAGATGAGCCATCGGAGCGTCTGCGCTCCCAATTTCCACTGGTGGGGCGAGGAAAGAAGGCTCAAGCACCCCAGGGGGACCATCCCCCAGAGGAACGCAGCCCCATTGCAGTCACCCTGGAGTTCAAAAAGTACATTTTTGACCCAAAGAAGAAGATAGTCCAAGGTAAACTTGCAGCTCATCAGCCACTGTCAGCACCAGAACCATGACAATGTCTGCTTTGTAAATATCTTTCCACTTGTTTAATAAAACACTCAAGCAGCCAGATTAGGTTTCTTTTGTTTGTCACAGGTATGAATAGAAATGTGGAGAGCTGTGTAACAAAGAAAAAAAGCAACATGTAAAATAGCACACATAAAGGACTTTTTTCCGCTTGCCAGAACAGCATACTTAAAAACGAAAGAACTTAAACATAAGGTGTACACGGACAGCCGCTCTTTCACGTGAAGAACAGCATACCTGGTACACATTGTAGCATTGTAGCCAATAAACAACGTTCCACTTGTTCAATAAAAACACAAGCAGCTAGATGATCCTCACAGATATGAATTTAAAAAAAAAAATGCTGAAAAGGCAACAAAAAGTGGGGACAGAAATTCACACCAAAAAAGACGTCTTTCTTGCTCGTCAAAACAGCAAACTTGGTATACCATTTCGAGCATTGTACCCAAACAGGAATTGTACAAACCACACACACACACAGTTGTCCACTGATCAATCATTGGCATAGCTGCACTATGTTGTCACACGTACTAGCCCTCCCGACGTAAAAATTTGTTATCAAAGTTGATCAATTGCCATGGTACTACCCTGACAAATGTATTCAGCAGCTGTCCTGAAATAGTACAAGCCTGTGTAACTTAACATGGCGCTGCCAGTCACTTCACGTCACTAGAATGTCCTTTCCAATCTCGCGCATCAAAAATTATCACCGAACAAAAGTTGGCGACAAAGATTGGCCCACTGTCATCGATCAAACGAGTGCCGTCCACTTCAGCGTGACAAGAGCAGTTGACTCTGGGAAAGAACACTTTAGACAGATTCACCATAGCAACCGCAATCCGAGACCATTCTCCACTGGCAGGGCGGTGATGTAAGGAACGAAAAATTGTCGGCCTGAGCTTTGTCCTTGCAAGGCAGGAAAGCAAGCCACACCACTAGCGCAGATGAGAGCACTTTCGGAACCACGGTTAGGTTGATCAATGAACACCAAGTAGTTCCAGCTGTAAGGAGGCTAGTTGAGATTGCCGTCATCGATGTTGCAACTTCGTTTGATCGTGCAGAGGCACACAGGTGGTCTGAGGCACTTTGTGGACGGGAGAAATGCTTCCCTCCATCTCTGGAAGTCCTGGTCAGCGGGGCACAGAAGATGGCATGCCCAGGGGTTTCCCCAGCAGCAGCAAGCCTAGGCAGTAGTGTGCCAGACCAGAGGCCACGAGCACTGTGATGGCAATCCAGCCATTGTAGCGCATTATGATAAGCATGATGAAGAATCCCATGGTTACTTGCAGTCCATGCAGAAGTGTCTGCACCATGTGAAACTTGAGCCTGTAAGGATGGAGTCATTGTTGTATGGCCGATTTTGATGCAAGGGCAGAAGTTACCTTGTTCGGCATAGGCTGTGCCACATGTCAGTATTAGTCTATTCACAGCAAAGTACCACTGCATTCTCATATCACAAAGGGCTTTCAGGGGGAATATTAGAGCAGGGTTATGTCCCTGTTGTGTTATTGCTGCAACAATAAGCCACAATGCCTAGTGATCACTCCTTATATTCTTTCACTTCCCTAGCAGAACACCCTGAATCACTCACTCTTCTCCTGCTCCTAGTAAACAAATAATATGGCTGCTAATGTTACCACTATTTTTTTTACTATCATCAGTAGAACTTGACGTCGTGCATCGGGGAAAACTTTTGAATATTCAGTTGTCCACCCTGCACAGAAATTGTCAGACAAAGACTTGCCATTGCTACATGGCATACTTTTTCTCCCTACACCATACACAGTCCAAAAGCTACATCCCGTATGACCTAAAATCTACATTTATCACTGAAAAGCTTGATTCAAAGCAGAGTGCACTGGCCTCATCCAGCAAAAGCTCAATCATGTACAATGTAAGATCTACATCATGCTCCAGAGAACAGCTAGGCATTCAACAGAGTGCACTTGCTTTATTCTCCAAAGCCTACATCACATATGATATACGATCTACATCATTCATCACTGGAAAGCTAAATGCATGGCAGTGCACTGGCCTCATCCAGCAAAAGCTTCATCATGCGCCATCAAACTTGTGCGGCAAAGTGTACTTGCCTCGTCCAGCGGTGTGCATCCATGGTGCCGTAGAGGAGGTCGACCTGGGACTCGCCTGGAGCGCACTCGAGGCGGCTGCGCTCGCTGCGGGGCTCCCAGGTGCTCTGGGGCGTCTGCTTCTGCACCTCCACCAGGTAGTGGCGGGAGGCCGTGATGGACTCGTACAGCACCGAGAAGGCAGCCACGCCCAGGCACAGGCCGAGCAGCCCTGCGGCAAGGCTTCTGGTTAAGCGGTATTCATGCAGGGGCTAAATACTAAGGGCGGTTTGCTGGTGGATGCAGGTATCCCACCCGATGGCTAAAATCCCTGCAAGAGGGACTTTCTGGTCACACGACCTGATCAGAGGGCAGGAAGTACCCAGCATTCCAGCAAATTCCGCTCATCAGATGGAAGCGTTGCCGGTTGTTTTTGTTCATTCTTGCTTAAAGCAATCTTTCTCAGAATCAACTTTAAATGCCATTTTTTGAAGTACACAAAAGTGGTTAATTTCACTTATACATTTCAAGACTGTTCACCCTCTTTCTGTGTGCAAAAGCGGACCTAAATAATCTAGGCGAGGACAGACTTACGGCAGCCATTTGCCTGTCTCGGCATTGGTTATTCTGCGCTGCATGGTCAATGCTGTTAGCTTCCACAGTGCTCCAACGCTGTCAAACCTAGTGGCACGAGCACGTCGCTTTGTTTGACGTCTCTTTCACACGAAAGCGCGCATGAGTGAGACGCAAGACGAAGCCACATGCTCTCGCAGCAGAGCTGAGCTGTAGCACTGCGAGAGCTACGATAGCCTTGACATGTAGCAAAAAATAGTTGACGCGGAGATTTCTTTACAAGTTCCCGTGCGCATGAAGCCATTCATGTGACCAGAAAATCCCTTTTGTGGGGATTTTAGCTGCTGGAAGATAGCCACATTTACCAGCATGCCGCCTTGGGATTTCTTTCCGGAGTGTCGAAAACGCCACGCTTTTGCGATGTGCTGCGGTTGCTTATGGTCCCAGTCAAGTGTAAAGATCTAGCAGAGTTTGCATGACCATTTACATAAACACTCTGTTTATGAAGAAGCCTATCTGCCCACAGGAGGTGTGATATGCCTGGTATGAACTTATGCATTTCTTCAAAATACATAAGTGTTGAGTCATTCTGGTACCTGAACTAAAAAAAAAAAAGACTTGTCTAAATCTTAAAAAAAAAAAAAAACTATGGCAAGGTTATTTTAATTTTTTTTTCCCTTGTTTTTAGAACTATAATCTTAAAAGTCGTGTGGTGTTGAAAGGGGCAGGTGTGCAAGTATGTGCTTTTGGAAGGTGCAAGATTGCACATGTTCTCCTGCCAACAAGGCATTTTGCAGAGCCACACCCTCATGCCTGCCATGGCAATGGACACAGGTGCTTGATTCCAAAATGGTTTGGACACCCTTGGAGTCCAATCCCATTCCTTCGAGTATGTCGAGTCTGTTCAGTGTTCTGAACTTGTCATTGATTATAGTTGTGCTCTATGCAGACCCCATATAAAGTTAATAAAAAAATAAATGCAAACTGCCAAGCTCTGAACCCTTGGGCCATGCCTGGTCTTGGGAGATGAGGACTTGGCAATGACAGAAGGAAAACTAGAACAGGCTACTCAAAAAGGTTGCTAGGTAGCCCATGAGGCACACAAACATGCTGTCTGAAGCCAGTTTGATATTGCAGGGTGTTGCCAATGGACAGACAGAAAGCGAGACTGTTAGCAAAGCCGGTGACATGTGGTCTGAACAGAAAACTTCCATGCGCACACAGGCAGCATTTGGACAAGAGATAGCAGTTCTCACGTGCATTTATATGCCCCCAAGTCGCAAGTTTTCGGCGTTCATTGTTTACGTAGGTTAGTGACACGATTTGAGCATTAAGGCCACACTTAGCATTTACCATTGCTGGCGGGGAGGCTCTCACCTCCAAGAGAGGAGGATGTGAGTCCCTTGAAGAGGAGGTTCTCCACGTGGGTTGTGAACTCGAAGTAGGAGTGGTGCCCCATCATCACCTCCATCTTAAGTTGTTCAGGTGCTCGCACGCAGGATTGGCTCCGAACAACTGGCTTTCATAAATGTCCCTGACAGAATGGCCAGGCACAGCAGGCGCCGGTACTGCACTAAAGATGTCTCAGTTAGAATACATAACATATGGAGAGTCAGATCAAATCTAATGCAAAAAGTCAGCAATAAATCATGCCCAAACAGGATCATTCCATTTGGGGCTAACAACCAATGCCTACAAGATTAGAATTTCTAGCCAATGGCTACACTATAAAACCTATCTGTTGCAAATGGAAAAAAACACCTTTTATTCATAAGGAATCTGCTGGCATAAGTACACTTCTGGCAGAAAAAAAAATAAAACGGTAAGAGGACAAGGCACAGACAGACATGTGCCCACCTCTCATCCTCTTTCTGTGTGGGACAGTGCCTCCTATACTTCTATTACAAATCTTGGAAGAGTGAAAACATATTGCGCTGCCACCATTAGTTTCCTTCCAGAGTAGTGGCATCTACAGCATTTGATTCAGTCATGTCAGAAGTTTACCTCTTCAGCAGGTAAAATGGGAAATTTCCCCAAAACGTTCTCACTAAAAAGGGTTCATGCAAAAAGTGGCCCAGAATGTGTCTCGCCAACTGATAATGCAAAAAAAAAAAAAAAAAAAAGACGTAAAAAGATTTTTGCAATATGCTTTAAAAAAAGGTATCATGGAAAAATAATTTGTTCCCCCAAAACTTGTTCTTGTTGACCTTGTGCGTAAGTCTCTTACCTATTCACACGCCAAATGACTCAATCATCCACAAATTAACACCCGCATTTTCATAAGTGGTTCCTAATTGGTAGACGGTACATCATATGAAGGGTGCGCCCTTCCTTTCATCGGTGATGCGTGCGTCTAGACTGCATCTCAAAGGCATGTACCTCGAACCTATCATACGCTCGCATCAGCGGAAAGCAAGGTGAGACAGCGGCACGCAGAGCCAGCAGCGATACGGTCCGTATAGCGCGCATTTTCTTCGCGCCAGATTCCAACTGTTCCCGCGGCGCGCCGGGACGCGTACCACCTATCCAACGCCGGGAGCGCCCAAGGCCAGCAATAGCGGGCACCAGCTAAGCGAAAGCCGATCTAAACTTTCTTCGGAACCGGTACGCGCAGTTTTATCTGGCGGTACCGAAACGAGGTCAAGGACCGGACCAGAGGGAAGACGTCGGGGAGTCAACGACCCCAGCAGGACGGGAGGCGGATCGGCCGGTGCCGGGAAGGAACCAAGCGGGAACTGCTGGACGTCTCGCGGTCTTTTCCGTGTTCGAAGAGGAGCACTTTCGTCGTGGTGGCGGAGGGGAAGCTTTCCAGCTGATTCCGCACTGCGCCCGCGGGGCTTCCTCGCACGAAGGAAGCGGGAACTGCGGATGTTTCCAAGGCTGGGTTGGGCAGACGCCGGTTCGGAGCGCGACAGAGTTTTGAGTAAAACGGTCACGTATTTTGGGGGGCATTTAAATATGCCTTCACGTAACACGTGAGCCGCTCTCAAGGATCTCACGAACGAATCCTGCATTTTTCCAGGCCTGCGGCGAGAATTATTCATTTATTTATTCACGGTACCTCAAACGTGTAATTAAAAAAACAAAAAAAGAACTTTTGGGTAAAAAAAAAAAGAAGAAATAGAAAACGGTAAACGAGGCGAATAATTCAAAGTGGTGTGATAAACACCATCATAAAACTGGAAGAGTGTATCGCAAATAACAAAAAGACAAACTTAAAGCCCGAGGCTATGGAAGTAGGATGACATAAAAAGGATGCCGGGCGTAATGAAACCCTTACTGACATCGTACTTGTCAAGGATCATCGACGCACGCTCAAGAAGGACACGCAAGCAAACACGATATCCACTCGTTAACCGAAACCGCGGGCTAAAACATGCATAAATTAAAGAGTAAGCTTGAAATTAACTGCGGTGTTTTTCCCCGTCGAGCGTTCTTGCCACCACGCGCTCAAGTGTAACACAAACAACGAAATACATCTACTCCAGCGGCTGAACTGAGCGTTCAGAGTGCTGTGTAGCAACGAAAGACCCAGGCCAAGCCTCCATATATGTTTACGACATCGCAAAACTGACAGGATATAAGCACTTAGCAGTCTTCAAGCAACGTACAGTTTACACCCTGAATGATCCGGTCCGATTTGGTTTAGAAACGCCCAAAGCGGACACAACAAAGTGCGGCGAAGCCGGGAAGACCCCGCATGCTAAGGCGTACGAAAGAAAGGATGAGTCACCCGCACGAGTTGCGTTGCCTTGACGGGGACCCCAGCGGTGACGACACGACTGAAACTTGTCAATCAAAAAGAAAGCACTAAACAGGGCGTGTGCTCGAGGCTACTGACGCGATCCTTCTGACTCACAGAGCTGACGCCTCCACAAAACACCGAGGTAAATTTTGAAGGAGCACGTCGTACCAGACCTGACTAACTGTAGTGGACTCGCATTTCCACAACGGGCGAACTGCAGGACTTCGAAATCGTCCCACCCCGAAGTCCGGAAACAGCTGTCAGTTCGGGCAAAACAGATGTTTTATATATAAATAGAACCGCGTGACGAACTGACAAGGTTTCACGAATCGCGCCACACACGTTTACAATGCGGATTCGCCTTTGCACAGTTTAAACCAAGGTTGGTTCAAACTGCTGGTGCTGGCTGATGCTAACGGGCTTCGCAGCGGTGACGGATACGAAACAAGAGTCCACCCTACCTGTACTGGGTCGAAGGGATTTTCTTCACAGGCTGCACAGGAACTGCTTAATATGCTTGGGATTGCAGATTGGACGAGGAACTAATGCCGTGGAGCGGCCGGCAGCAAAGTTCGCCGCGTCGGTGCAACAACAAAAACAAGCCCGACTCAATCCAGTTTTCACTTTCAGGCGGCAACAGAGCCGACCGAGCGACCGGCGAAACATACGTACCGCGCAGGCTCCCTCCCTCACCCGACACGCAGCTGGCGCCATCTGTTCGCTACTACAAGAACTTGCGACATCGAACGCACAGATTGGACCGCTACCCTTTTGAGAGGAGCCGGGAACTTTGAAACTTATAGATCTTTTGTAGCTCGTTGTTTTAAAGTCCTGAGCCCTCTCTATGCAGGGGCGGATTCAGTGGGGGGGGGGTCCGGATGTCTTGACCCCCCTCTTGAATTTTGCGTGTGTAAAAATTTAGGAAGTGGAAACGGGGAAGGGGGGGGGGGGGGGTCTTAAACATATGATACGCTGACCAACACCTGACCCCCCCCCCCCCCCCCCCCCCCTCAAGAAATACCTGCGTCCGCCCCTGTCTCTACGTAATACGCTTTAGCACTGAGTGGGGGATCTTATGATGGTGAGGGACATACAAGAAACGACGCGTCAAAGGTACTAACATAGTAGATATTTTTTTTCTTTCTTTATTCTTTTTTTTTTTTCACATTCTAAAAACTTGTTTAGTCTTTCAAGTGCCAAATGCCGACGCAAAACATCGTTTTTTTTTGTTCTGACTGGGAGAAAAGGAGAGGGGGAGGGGTTAAGCGTTTGGCACTATTTGGGACATAACCATAAAGTCAATAAAATAAAAAAAAATAGTTTTGTGCGAAAAACTAGCTGAAAATGTGAAAACAGGGGTATTAAAGTGCACGTAAATCGCAAATCTGATGTCTTTACAATCGTCTTTGCCATTCCTGTACAATAAAATGCCAAAGGCCTGATTAATTAAAAAAAAATGACATGGCGTGGAAATATTTTTTTCATCCACCGAATTTTGTGCGATCTACTGTTGTGTTCTCGAACATGGGGTACAAGCATTTAAAGCTGAAACGTCGTAAAAAATAAAAACAATACAAAAATCAACCGGAAAACGCAACCCCCCCCGGGCAAAAAAAAAAAAAAAAAAAATCAAAACTTAAGGGGGAAAAAATAGTTCCAGCTAATTTTTCGGAGAGCAAGCTACGCTACAGTATCTGTGGTTGGGAAAGGGCGAACATGCTTTTAATGAGAATATAGCATGCGGTTTGCGTGCCATGAACACATTCTGTTTTCCGAAAAAGCGTGAAATAGTTCCAATCATCGTCCACTTTTTGGATGGCTCTTCGCACGTGTGCTTCGACATTTTTTTTTTTTTTTTCGGAATGTCGAAGGCGATATCGCGTTTCTGGCTGCTCGCCCTCATTAGCTATATTTCGTTTTACCGTAAAAGCGCAGTCGAAACTAGAAGACACAGGAATGCAGACGTACTACTTATTAAAATAGCGACATCACGGCGAATTCCCTTCCCTTGATTCGTTTAGCCGGTGAGCAGAGAAGCACACGGTGCAGCTTTATTAGCCCCATCGCCCCAGCTTTGGCTCACAGCTGGACGTTCGGTGAAACGAACGATATTGTTTTTAATTATGAACCAGCGCACAGGGTAGACTGTTACTCAAAAATTCAAACACACGAAAATACTCACACAGCGCTGAACTATGAACTCATCTTTTTTTTAGTAAAACTTCTTCTTCAACTCCATAGAATTGCATGCCAACCGAACACACAAGATAAAGAAAAAGTGAAAGACAAGGTGAAGGAAGGAAAGGTAAAAGTTCAAGAAAAGAGAGAAGACAAAGAAAAGGAAAAGAAAGGAGAATAATAATAACACTGCAAAGTCCGAGAGTCACGAAAATTACAAAAGATAATTGCAAAAATTGATCACGAAAATACATAAACCAGGGAATATACTGACCTACTGTTGAAGACACCTTCTGTCTAAATAATGCGGTTCCCTTACTGACAAGGTTAAAGGGGCCATGAAACGAATTTTGGGCTGGGATAAATGATTTTAAATTGCAACTTTACTAATCGCATATCGTTTAGTTGGCCAAAAGAAAGAGGGTAGAAAGTCAAAAGCCAGCTTTTCGGTAATATAGCGGACTATTTTGTCCCTTCTTTCCTTCGAAAGCTCTCAGCCTTTCCACTATAATACATCCGCGGTTCCCAAAGCAGCGGTGCCAACCTGACGTCAGCCGAGCCCAGCTCACGCCTTTGACACGAGAACTGCGTCACTCGGACGTATCCGCTCTCGGACGTATCCGCTCGTCAACAATAAACCCGTTGACGAATATTCGGGTTCGCGTTCGTGGCTAATGAGTGCCCTGACGGAACTTATCGCCACTGGGGAATGACAAGTTCTATGGTGTGCATAAAAAGCACGGTGGAAGCTAGGAGTCATCGCACCGGTGCCGAAGAATGTCACGACGACGTGATTTCACAATTCGCATTTCAGTTGAGGATTAAAGCTAAGGAGGAAGAAGTAGGAAAATTGTTTCATGACCCCTTTAAAGGACGGAGTGCTAACGCTTTGGGCATCCCATCATACAATGTTCTCCGCTTCTATAATTTCTAGGGTGAGCTGGTTTTTACTCTTGCCTAACACAGCACAGCTATCCAGTCGCGCAGAACAGCCACAATTCCTACAGTGAACGCCTAAGTGACCAGAGTTGGCATTGGCGATTTTGTTTTTGTGCTCACTGCTCACGCTCACGTAGGCGGTCCTTTAAACACCATCCAATCTGTCCAATGTAGTCTTTTCCACAGGAAAGGAAAATTAATAGATCACCCTTTCAACACATGTGACGAAGTTGAATCTGTGCTTCTTTGTGCAGCTGACTATGATATTCGAAGAGGTGTTCACTTTTTGCAGGGGTTGTAAAGTTTTTGGTGTGCGAAAAAAAAATTGCATTGACATTTCCTCGGTCTGCCATTTTATTTAGACCATGAGATAGACTGGGCATATCTGATATGACTACCGGTCTGGTTGTCCTGTGTCTGGGTATGTTTGCGCCGCTTATCTTGATTTCTCTGGGGAGAACCTCTGTTACCGACTTCAGTACACTCTCAGAAAAAAAAGGGTATATTCTTACACCCCTTGTCTCATATAGGACACCCCAAAACTTCAGTTCAACGTGCAGCGCGCTGACGTCGAACAGACGGCCTAAACTTTTACGAGGTGCTTGATAACGGTGAGATATACCTCATTAAACAGCTAAAGTACGTATCAAAGATTACAAAAAAAAAAAACACTGAGGTTTTGCAGTGATGCCAAGAAAACCCAGATTACTCTTTTTGTGGTCAATAACGCGTACATTATATATTTTAATAAGTTGTACCACTCGGCTATCAAGCCGCCTGTGAATATTGGTATCGTCGGTTCGACGCCAGCGCGCTGTACGTCGATATGAAGTTTTGGGGTGTCGTTTATGGGACAAGGAGTGTAAGAACATTTTTTTTTTTTTTGAGAGCGTACGGGAAGATAATATCCAGCCTTGATACTTGCCCGTCGTAGCTCGTCTGCATTGAGTGTAAGCATGACTTAGTGATGGAGATTCCCCCTGGGCTCATATGACCAACAGATGTGATAGGGTAGCACATACAGGCGAAGATCCATCTCTTTCGACCGGCAGTTTATAGATGGGTTTCAGAGGATTCATACGGTTCTTAAAATTGTAGAGAACCTCTTCCACCATGGTTCTGAAATAGGCATCATCTGCAGCAAGGAAGATTAAACAATCATCAACGTATCTACATACCTTCACTGCATTTGCTGTATTCAATATTTGTTGTAGAATCCATCTCTGATGTGCAAGAAAGATGTCACTAAGGGCTGGAGCAATGCTGGATACTATATCTACTCTCGTCTTTTGTAGGCAGGCATTTCAATCCCAAGCAGCGAAGGTGAACTTAAGATAGATCTTGAGTAAGGCCAGAAACTGACTTTGGGACAGACCCACCGTATTCTTAAAGGGTATGATATGACACCAAAAGCGTCAATGCTTTCTTCCACACACTTTAGGAGACGTTCTTGGGGTAAGGAATAATATAGGTCCTTGGTATCGATGGAAAATATCTTGAACTCTTCATGACTATGATCTTCTAGAAATCTGAAGACCTCTTAGGAACTTCGACGCAGGTAGGGATCGTAAATATTTAGTAGATTTAGCCTCTCCTGAAGGAAGAATGCACCGACCTTTGCCATGTTCCTCTTTTTAAGACAATGACTCTAAGGGGGCATCTTGTGGGTTTTTGCACTGAAGAAGAATTCAAGGTGCAAATTTTGGGCTGCGGTCAATGGAGGAGCAGAGTATTTTTGTAAATCCAGCGATTGACAATATTGTCTTGTCTCTCGTTTAATCTTGTTCAAGGCGACCTCCTTGAGGAAGTTGATTCAATCGCTTCTAATGCCTTAGCACCATACATTTCTATGTGCATGATCAGAAAACCACCTTCTTTATTGGCTGGCATAGGAAAGAGAGAGTTCTTCTTAAAGTAAGTCCCTACCTTCTTGATAGGAAGAGGTGAGGACGACAAAATTTGTATCTAACAAGTAAGTCCATGCACTCCTTCAGAGGTGCATCTATTGACCTCAGACTCCGTAGAGCGTCTCGACATTTGTCTGACGATGGAAAACCGCTCCGGTGCTGACAGCGTACGCCGTCAGCTGCAAACTTAGGGCCAAGACTGAGGACGTTTGTGTGTTTGGATGTTTGAGTGACTGTCTAGCTGTGCGCTGGTTCGTAATTATGCATTACCAATTCGTGCAGTTTTTCCATGTTCCAAGCAGGAGGGTGTGATCCCGTCCGGGTCACCAAGTACTGTGGTCACTTACGCACGCACAGACCCAGCGGCTCCCGAGAGAACTTTTCTCTGCTCGATCGAGCGGCCCCGGAGAGCGTCAGATTACTTTACCCGGCTCAAGTGCTGCGTCGTCGACGGATGTTGCCGCACGCTTACATAAGTCCGCGCAACATCCATTGCACCACATTAGATAAAATCTTGGCAATCACTAGGGATGTCGCGAACCACCCGAGGTTCGATTTCGAAAGGTTTCGATATTTGCGAAGTGAACTGAGGTTCGATTTCGAAAATTTTCGATATTTTCGTATCGACCGAGGCTCGAATTGGAAAAATTCGCAACTTTCAATCACAGTGGAGTTTCGA